ACTACCAGCTGTTCCATGGGAGAAAGATGAGGCTTTCTGCTCCCATAAAGATTTACAGCCTTGGAAACCCTGTACAGGGTTGCTATGAGTCGGAATCAACTCCACGGCATGTAACAACAACAACAACATAATGAAATTACTACGGCATTGACCCTGAAGTGATATTGAAAATATTTATAAATCTATTTTCCCCAGTTGCCAACCAGTCAAAAAGGACAGGCTGCTCGTAGAGTCAGTTCCAAATCATAGTGAGCCTGTATAGAGTTTCCAAGGAGCGGCTGGTGAGTTTGAACCGCCAACCTTGCAGTTCAAACTGACCTTGTGGTCCAGTGCTTGTCTTAAGTTCTCTGTTAATTGAATCTCCCCTCCCCAAACTGGATCACATGTCCTATCAGTGGAAAAGGAGCAATGATAAAGCTAAGAGCTGAAAGAATATTCAATCAGGGACAAGAAGCTTTGGATTCTTTCCCATTTTTTACTACTTACTAGTCAAGTGACCTTGATGAAAAACTCTTGCTGAGAACCTCTTCCTTATCTGGAACAAAAACTGTTACAAGGGTGCTCCAATGATACATTTTATATGACAGTGGTTTGTAATCTGTTACATTCAAGATAAACATAAAGTACACTTAGGAAAAATAATATTTTTAAGAAGCCCTGAAATAATTTCTTTTATCATGCACTCAGGAGTCCTGGTGTGGTGTGCTGTAGTGTAGGATAAACTTTCACCACAAAGTCAGTTTAAACTGTAAAGTCGGTGGTTCAAAGTCACAAGCAGCTCCTTGGGAACCCTATACAGGGTCGCTATGGGTTGGAACCAACTCAGCGGCATTTCACAATAACAATAAGTCATGCAAAGAATTATCATTTAAGGGGGAAATCTGACCCAAATTCATTACGCCCCTATTTTCACATACTGACTTTTTTGTTTCTTTTAAGAGGGATAGACTTCGTGAGCTAACCCTTTCTCAGATTTCTTTGAACCTTAATCAGAAACATAACTTGTAACATTTACCAGCTTTATATTTCCAATAGTTCCCATGTGGTAACCCTCAAAACGCATGATGTAAAATCTGAATTATCTAGAGAGCTGCACCAACCATAATTATGTGCATTGATTGACTTTGGGTCCCAGAGACACACTTCTATTAATATGACGGTAGTAGACTTTGATCCAGTCCACCAGTTACCTTGGCTGTTTGGGACCTAAGATGGGATCATTTTCCTTGGCTTCAAGACATTTTGCCAACATAGGCTGACATCTCAGCCCATAAGGCAAAAGGATGAGGAAAGGCTTATGGCTAGAAGACAGACCCAGGAAAAAGTTCCAGAAGAAACCTCCCAGCACTTTCTAGAGGCCAGACCTGAAGGAAGCTTGGAATACATCGCGGGTTCCTTCATTCCTGGAAAAGGGTTACTCTAAGATGGTTCTATTCTGCTAAGATCCCTGGAGCCAAGCCTGAGCTGACTAACAGGATGTAGGTGAATTGGCAGCCACAGTATCAAAAAAACACATACATATATATCCCTAAATTAGGCCTTGGGAATCTTTTATAGTCCTCCAGGATGAGTATTTCTCCTGCCAGAAAAATAGGACATTTTAATTGTTCTGAAGATCCTTCTTGGGTCCAAAGGACAAAGCTAAAAAGGAGGGAGGAGCATGTTTGAAAAAAGGGGGGCTATTGGATCATTTTAGCTTTAAGTAAGAAGTAAATTAGATCTGAGTGTTCATAATAGCGGGAGGGGGAGGGTGCGGAAGAGCTGTATTATTTTGAGTTTTATCTAAGTAGACATTAATAAAATGGCATAGAGCGGTGATGTTCTGTGGGCAAGATTTTACTAATACTATATGACAGCTGCATATTCTGAGTGCTTGGATTTTAAGAAAGATGTTAGATGTTAGATTGTGAGAAGGGTTTTCAAGTACTAACTATAAATATTTATAGTTATGTTGTTGTTGTGAAGTGCTGTTGAGTCGATTCTGACCCATAGTGACCCATACAGAGTTTCTAAGGAGCCGATGGTGACTTTGAACCACCTACTTTGTTGTTCAAAAGGCTTTGCAGTGTGGCACATTAACCCCACAGCGCCACACCAGGACTCCATTTATAGTTATAGAGTACTGTAACTATAAATATTTACCTTACTTTGGCACTAAGGTACATTTCTATTCAGAGCAAAGACTATCATGGAAGCAAAAATATTACTAGAGGTGGTCTAATAGAGATGGAAATGTGGTGGGCTAAAGTTAGAACAGAAACTAGAACAATTATAGATATTTGATTCTGCACTACAATCTATTTAATATAGTCTTTCCTGTTGATTGTTGTTGTTGTTGTTAAGTGCCATCGAGTCGGGTCCGACCCATAGCGACCCTGTACAGGGTTTCCAAGGGTGTAAATCTTTACGGGAGTAGAAAGCCTCATCTTTCTCCCGCGGAGCGGCTGGTAGTTTCGAACCGCTGGCCTTGAGGTTCGCAGCCCGATTCGTAACCACTACGCTACCAGAGCTCCTATTGATTAGTAGTGGTTATTTCTGTTATTAGTAGTGGTTGTTTCCGTTAGATTATAGTTGGTAATGGAATTGTCTTCTTTTCAATAATGTTTAAAGGAACTACTTTGACCATCTAGCTATTTTTTACACAGACTTGATTTTTTTTTGTTGGATCCGAAATAGAATGGATTAAAATTGCTTGACTTAATGTACTATGGAATTTGTGAATGAAGAGGAGAAAACTCTGTCTTCTAAATTTGGAAAATTAGAAGTTATTTTAGAAGCCATCTTGAAAGGTTATATTTTTTAACAGCCTTAGAGAATAAAATTGTGAATAATTCATAACGTCCTAGAAATATGAGTCAAATATTTTAGACAGTGATAAATCTTTTCATTTTGACTACATGATATTTTAAAGTTCTTGAACAACTGTCTGATTTCCTTCTTACTTTGTTCTTTAATTTTCTGAAGGTTTATATTAATTCCTATTGATGATTCCAGGGCTTTGGTTTAAATTCCAAATGTTGTTTGTATTGACTCTATAGTGAAATTGACTTCATAGTGAGTAGGCCGACTAAGAACTGTGCTCCGCCTTCTTGACATTTTGTGAATGGATTGTGAAGGGTTTGTTAATTTGCTCTTCACTCCACTGGCGCAGATACTCACAAATATCTGCTATGTCTCAAGACTCTTTTATTTGCATAATGAGAGGAATGGTTTGGAGGAGGGTTGTTTGGGAAATTGGCTAATAAGGTACATTAAAAATAGAAATGCTTGACCCGGTTTTGCTTTTATTCCTGGTATCTTTAGAAACAGTCTTGGCTTTGCTGCTTGCCAGCCAAGTCCTTTTTTGGAAAGGGTAATAAAGGGGCTGGGACTCCATCTGCCTGAAGGTCTGACTTGTCCTAACCCTTCCCTTAGCTCTTCCTGCATTCCAGCTATAAACCTGAACTGTCTTGTCTCCCCTATCTTTGTAAAGTGTCTAGTAGGTCTTTCTGACTCTGTCAGAGGAGTGATTCCTTTTTATAGGCAGAAACATCATTCTCTCCCGAATTCCAAAGAAAAACTGCTTCCCTCCTTTTTCGTGGTTGTTAAAAGAACGTAGTGTGAGATGCATACCATTATTCCTAAAGTAAGCGTGCAAACATTGAACTTGCATTCCCTGCTAAATGAGACACGTGAAGGACATTGCCTTCATGCTGAAAAGGTGGAGGGATTGTGAGCGAGGGGCTGTACTGGCTGGAATACGTAGCCCTTTGCCTAAAACGGAATGCACTGCTCAGTGCTTGGGATTAGATTTATGAAATGGCTCCTCTCCCGGCGTTGTCCCTGCTTTATACAATTTGGTGCTTTGTAGCTGTTGAAACAGCCTTACTTCCTAAGCGATTGTGATCGTGCAGGGGGAGGAGGCTGTGTTGGGCAGAGGTAGTAGTAGTAGTGAATGACACAGATTTGCTAGATGACATGTAGCGGACCTCTGCATCAGCTAAGAGGAATTAAGCTTTGTCACTCCCCACTGGGACTACCTTTCTCCTGGTATGTGCGCGAGGAGGAATTCATATGCTGCTGCTGCAGCCACCAGAGCAGAGCCCTGAGTACACTTTGCCACAGAAAGCAGTGAGCAAGAATGATAGCTGTCTCTTTTAAATGCCGTTGTCAAATTCTGAGGCGACTTACGAAAGGTATCGTGCTTTCCTTGTTATTCACTCAATGAGTCTGTTGCAGTATTCTCTGAACACAGTTTAATGGTTTTTACTTTCAGATATGACTGCCTTTACAATTTATTGGCAGGCAACAAAGAACTCAGTGAAATATGTACAGATATATCTGTGCAGGTAGACTCGGCATTGCTTTCTGTCCTTACATCCTGACTGTGTTCACGTTGAATTCATGAAACCGGCTTGTGTCATTTTTTTGTTGTTGTTGTTTTAATGACTTCATTCACTGCCAAGAAGAAAATGTGTTTGAGTCCAGTGCTGAAGTTATTATGGGAAAATGATTATTTTGCATGCTGATTAGTTGGTCAAGAGGAGTCAAGTGTGTGTAACTGTCCTTTTCCATGATCCTTGTTAGTACATGAAGCTAGCAGCTTTCAGGAGCCGCACGGAACCCACAGAATAACTGTTTATTCTGTGAATTTTCAACATCCCATAAGCTATTTCCCAGATTACCTTTAAATGTTTTACATGTTATAATTGCATGTTCAGCAATGTAGGTGATTCATACTGCTTTAGTCCTAGGTTAGGATGTAGCAATGTGCTTTTTGAAGAAGTTTATTTGAAAGTAGAAATCATTGCTCTGTATTTTACCATCAAGAATTACGGGTTTGAGATTGTCTTTCTTAGAAGTCTAAAATCCTGATTAAATCCCTCTGTAATATCTAAAACATGCTTTTCTTTGAAATCACTGTAGCTATGCCATTGCATTTACTTTGTGTGCATTCTATTACAAAGTTAGTGAACGGTTGCTTTAAAAACCCTGCTAGCTCTCTCTCTCTCTCTCTCTTTCTCTCTCTCTCTCTCTCTCTCTCTCCTAACTTGTCTTATTTCCTTTACATAGAACCTTCCTTAGAGAAAATTGATTATTAAAAAAAAAAAAGAAAACCTTCATTCTGAATAAAAGTGTGGAGCTAACTGCAAATGCCTTTCTGTTTCAAGCTGTAATATAGAGTACTGTCAAGTAATTAATGGATATAATTATGCTTTAGAAGGTCTGAACCTATAAATATGTTAATGGATGCTATTTCTATCAGTTTAGCTTGACATATCAGAGTTCTTTGATCACCAGCAGTGCAGCTAAAAATGCAATTAATATTTTATTTGGCAGAAGAATGAGCACAAAGCAAAGAGTGAGAAATAGATCTTGAGTCAATAACAGGAAAGTGAGTAAATACTATAGCCCAGCTTACCAAATGCATCTGCAAATTGTTTAGATAGAAGAGTTGAGTCCTTTATAAGGTATTTAGGGGGGAATGTAGAAAAGACTATCCATTTTAAATTGAGCGGTTCTTGTGGGGTGGTAAATTCAGTTTTGACTTTTTCCTTTGCAGTTTTTACAGTTGCAAAGAAATGTACAATTCTGTTCACAGATTGTACCATGTCTGTTTCTAAATCACTTTTAAAAGAATATGTTTTATGCTATGGTTTTGGCTAAGATTTTTCAAAGATACCTGTCTTATTCTCAGAAGTTCTTTTTTTAGCTGATTTTACCATTTACTTATCTAGATATTGACACTTTTCTTATGTTATAGTCATAAAACAATCAATAGTTTCTATTGCATGTACATTGGAAATTATTTTTTAAGTCTGTCATATTAGGAAAAGAATGAATCCAAACAATTTTTAGTTCTTATAGTTTAACTGTTTTTGTTTTTTCACAGTTTTCTGAATCTTGTGGAAACACTGGTCTCCTACCTTGGAAGGAGATTGAGGAAAACTAATGGTACCTGCTCTGTAGTTGCTACTGCACATTTTCTCTTGAAATTTTTACATCTCTTGTGGTATTTAGCTTAAGATTGCCAGTAGGTGATTAAAATAAAACTTCTATGTGGAATCACTTTTCAGTAATTCAGTGGTTCTTAGTATCTGACTGGGTGTTCAAACATTTGCAAGAATGTGCCTTAGTAACGCAGTTTTGCCATACACCAAAGTTCAAGTCCCATCACTGCTGTCTTTGCCTGTTGTTCCAATGCATGTTTATTGAGTTCTAGCAAACACCCTTACTTATAGAGTTATTTTTCCTAGACTGTAATAGTAAGCCTAAGAAACACCAGGGGGCTTCATCAGTTCGTGGCAAAATTCCATGATCTTTTCATTACCTTTTTCCATGAACTTTTTGAAGCCCTCTCTTATATATTTACAATCTTAAATGCCCTTTCTTTGGTATTTGGAGAGAAATATGTATTTGGATGAAGTTTTTCCTATTCCAACCTCTCTACCCCCAGTTCTCCATACCTCCATCCTCGACCCCAAACACACATATTTCTTGTGCTTTCGTGTACCAGATATTCCTCCTTCAGACAGTTGATGTAGTTCAGAGCCATGGAGTCGGTTCCATCTCATAGCAACCCTGTGTAGGGTTTCCTAGATGTGATTGCTAGGTTTGAACTGCAGACCTTGCATTTAACAGCATGGTGCTTATCCTACAGAGCCACACCAGGACTCCCCTCCAGAGAGTTGTTAAGTCCTGCTGAGTGAGTTCCAATTTACAGCGACAATGTACAGGGGTTCCAAGGAATGACTAGTGGGTTTGAACCACCGACCTAGCAGTTCAAACTGACCTCACAGTCCAGTGCTTATTCCACGAGCCACAACAGGACTACAGATAGTAAGCACTCCAAAACGCACTGCCAAGTCTATTCCAATGCATCGCAACTCTATGCAACAGAGTGGAACTGTTCCTTGGGGCTTCTAAGAGTGTAAAACATGGGAGTAGACAGCAATTCTTTCTCCCACAAAACAACTGGTGGATTTGAAACACCGACCTTGTAGTTAGCAGCCCAGTGTCTAAACCACAGAACCACCAGAGTCCCAGCAGGCTCAAGGGACTGTTGGAACGAGTTAGATTTACTTAATAGAAAATCATAGGCCATTTGAGTTTTCTGTGAATTCTTAGAAAATTCTGCAAATACTTTATTGGACCCTTTGTGGCTAGAGCTTGGGTTAAGCTTTGGGTTGCTAACTGCAAGATAGGTGTTTCAAATCCACCCTCTGCTTTGTGGGAGAAAGATGAAGCTTTCTGTCCCACAAAGATATGCAGCCTCAGGAACTCTATTCAGGGTCTTTATGAGTTGGAACAAACTTGATGGCACTTAATAACATCAAACACATAGGGTCACTGAGAGCCAAAATCAGCTTGATGGCAGGGGATTTTGAGTTTTGTGGCTAAAGCCTTTCCCAGGTCTTACCAAGGAGGGTCAGGAGTGTTGTTTTGTGTTTCAGAAACTATACGTATCTTACCATTTGTGATTGATGTCACCCACAAGAAAAAGCAATATAATAAATGCAACACCTTTAAAACTATCTTAAGGGAAAAAAAGGGTGTCATTAGCATTTTGCCTGTTTTCTTAGGTTTTTTAATCATCTGTCTATGGTCCATTTGGCAAATACTCCTATCTGTCGACTCACTGGCACTTAACAATTGAGTACCTACTGTGTGCCAGGCATTGCTGTTTTTACACTATAATACTACCTGTATTAAGCATTTTGAAAATCAATAAGTTCATATATTGTGCTGTTATTGAGAAATCATTTTAAAACATCTATAAATTATGTAAGAATCCCTGGTGGTGCTGCAAGATAAGCACTGGGTTATTAACTGCACAGCTGGCAGTTCAAATCCACTAGTTACTTTGCAGAAGAAACCTGAGCCTGTTTACTCCTGTAAAGATGTGCAGCCTGGAAACCCTATAAACAATCACTATAATAATTTTGATAAACGAAGTGTTTTATAGAGAAGCCTTCTGCTCTCCCCACATAGAATCATGACCTGCAGTATCATGGTAGAACATATTTCAAGTGGACCTAGCACTTGCCCAACTGGAGAAGTGAGTCTTTTTCTTATTTAGACTTAAAGCAACTGTTTCCATTTGTTTGCCATATCGGCTCCCTACCAGTGCAGAATAAAAGCAAGAAAATAACTTTTATCCCAAAGTCTTGTTCCTGTTGTGAATGCCATTATGACAGGACTTAGGAGTTACTAAGAGACCAAGCTCTATCAAAAGTGTTTTTTTAGGTTGAATACAGAAATCTGAGCAAGAGATGTTATCTTCTGCCACTGGTCTTCTTCCCTTTATCCTGAATGATACTGGCTACCAATTACCTAATCTTGGATCCAATTGTAAAGCAACGTTTTCTCAGCTTTCCAGCCACATCTGACAAAGGAGTTCTCTAGTGAGCAGTCAAGCTTGCCTCCTTGATTCCTACCTTCACAGCTGCTTACTTCCGGAAGCCCTGCTTTCTCTGACGGGGATGGCTACAGTAACTCAAGAGAAGTGATTTTTTTTCTCAGAAAAGGGAATCTGCTGCCATGGTGTTTTACAGATTTAGTTCTTCTCTTCTTGTCATAGTTGTATCATTGTGTTTTCTTGTGGTTGGTTGGCTTTATGCAAAAAATCACATTCTGTGGTGACAAGGGGCCTAGCACCTGGTTTTAGTTCAGAAATCTCAATTCTCATGCACCACCAGTTGTGGTGTTTTCTTTTTTTATATCAGCTTTACTCTGTCTACCAAAGCCAACATCAGCCAATAAACATTACTGATATTCCACAGGAAGCTTGGTTCTGGGCACCTTTTGTTCCTTTGTCATCGTCCACATCATCTCTCTCTCTCTTCTTCCTATGGCCTTCACTTAGTATGTTGTTGTTGTTGTTTTGTGCCGTGGAGTTGGTTCCGACTCATAGCGACCCTACACAGGGTTTCCGAGGCTGTAAATCTTTACAGGAGCAGACCGCCTCATCTTTCTCTCGCGGAATCCCTGGTAGTTTCGAACTGTTGACCTTGTGGCTCGCAGCGCGATTCGTAACCACTACGCTACCAGAGTTCCTTAGTATAGATTTCAAAATTGCTCTTTATCGCTGGCCTAAATGCCATTTTATTTTCTATTTGCCCACACTTCCACTCCTCCTAATCGCATACATGACCTAGAATTTAGTCTCTCTGTCCCTTTCCCATTAGTTTACTAC